TCTCCGACTCAGTGAATATACTGTGATCATACCGAAGATACTAAGATTATTCGTATAAAATCTGTGTAGATATCATTTGTCATATCCCAGTAGCAAGATGACATCATTATGACGATGATTTAAGATTATTTTTTGTCATTCGACATCAGTGTACTAAACAATAACGTAAAATAAACATAACATTTGTCATGAAATATTACCATTATAAATATATCGTCATTTAATCAACATTTTTAATGAATAAATAATGAAATAATATTATTAATTATCTTTCTAATTAACTGTAATATATAAATAAGTATATATTAATATATATATATATATATATTTATTATTAATTAATTTGATATGATGATTTAATTAATCATTATTATATTAATTAATTAACTTATCCTGATTTGATCTTTATTCATTTTGTCGAAAAGCTCTGATTATTCTGATTATTCACTGTATATGTGTTTCTTCCGCAAAAAAATTAGATTTAGCGTAACAATAATAGCTTACAAACAGTATAAAGTAATTAGGCGGAATCTGATGTTCAAGTGAAACGATATGATTAGTCAGCGCAAGTTACGCTTACGCAAGTTATGCCGCATGTGACGGCACCCTAAAATTCCAGTGCGCATGCGCGAAAAATCCAATACACAATATGACTACAGTTTAACATAGCATATATAATAGAACCAGCATTAGCTATATATATCAGTCCTTGGCAGAACGGTACGAGAGACAAAATATAGGAGAAGTTCTCTCTTCCTCTCTGCGCAGATAAGATGCGCGATTGACAGATTATATGACAGTCGTGATGGACAGTTATATTGTTCTTTATAGCTTTATTCTATTAAAACTTTCTTTCTCGTATTCAATAAACTTAAAAATATATTATGTCATTTTAAATAGTATATTGCTACGGATGATTCTCGAGTAGGCCATTTTTATTTGTCAATAATGCGTGCGCAGTAAAGGACAGATATTCCCCGATATTTTGCTTCTCTCATCGTTCTGCCAAACCCAACTGGTGGTATAGAAGAGTATATGGTGCGGGGTCTATGTTATATGTGAAAGATATCTATTAGATTCGGACAAAATTAACGGAGACCGACTGGATTTGAACTCGGGATCCCTCATCTACCAATCCGACACTTAGTCTGCACGACCACGACGGCTCCTCTCTGTTAGTGTTTATATTCCGAATCTCTTTCATGACCGCTTACGATCGTCTAATTCTTACATATGTCTATGGTTCATTTGCTGCTACAAATGCTTCAAAGTATTTACTTAACCAAATCAAAATAAAGAAATCAGAATAAAGAATTTTATGAATTGACCAATCAAAAAAATGCTTTGAAGCATTTGTAGCACCAAGTGGATCCTAAATCGTTTTCTATTTCCTAACTGTATGCTTATACTCGTCAATTTTGGATATCGATTACATATTTTTCAGTGACATAGTTCACTTTTAAATTTCCATCGGTGGCCATCTCACGGTTTCACCGTTTGTTATTTTCACTGTGTCACGCAGCGAAAGAAATTATTAGTAACATAATTAAAAGTAATGAAGACCTATTCACATCAAAATATTCCAAAAACTACACTGAAGGCAACTGTGGCGGCTGGTGTTAGAGGAGCGTTGTCCACGATATGTTGTGGAATTTTTTGGTGACGGAAAAAAGATGTTGGCCGCAGTGGGTTTTGAACCTGTGGTCCTCAGGTGTATGAGTCTCGAGCGCTACCACTGCGCTGTGCGGGCCACGGTGTCTTTTCGTGTATGTTTCTACTAGGTATTAGTTGTATGAGCGGGGGACCGCCACAGGCTCCCCCCTTAGTGGACAAGCTCCGGAGATTCTTCTCTGTGTGCCCGTTGTCCGGTGTGTCTGCCCAGGGGAGATATGTGATGCGCGATGTGAGGAGGGCAAGTTGCCGCTGCGACTCTTGTGCGCTAGTTGCTTCTCCGTTGCGTGGGCGAGCCATGTGGACATCGACAGTGAGGTTGGAGCGTAACCTTGAAAGTCGAGGGTGTCCAGTGATTGGCTGGCTGTACCGGTGGCGATGTGGGCTGGCCGTATGGACGTCGACAAGGAGATGTGTGAGAGACCTCGGCAAGTCGAGTGCGTCCGATGATTGGCCAAGGAGAGTCACGTGATCGAAAGCAGCGGGCTTTATAAGGCCGTGTCTGTATTTCGATGTGTGGAGTTCAGAAGGTTGCGTGTTCATATCAACGTCGGCGGTTACCAAGTTGTGGCGGCTGGTGTTGGAGGAGCGTTGTCCACGATATGTTATAGAATTTTTGGTGACAGAAAAAAGATGTTGGCCACAGTGGGTTTCGAACCTGTGGTCCTCAGGTGTATGAGTCTCGAGCGCTACCACTGCGCTATGCGGGCCACGGTGTCTTTTCGTGTATGTTTCTGCTAGGTATTAGTTGTATGAGCGGGGGACCGCCACACAACTTCATGATTGTAAATATAACCTTAATATTTAACAAAATAAAGAGGTACGAACTTAGGAATAGATATTCCTATTCGCGCAAAGAAGATAAATACATCAACGGCAATAAAGAAGACAATTACTAATAATTGTAAATTGCAATAATTTATTAATTTATTTGGAATATATAAACTTTCATTTAAAAAATTTCTCTATTTCAGTGTTTGTATTTCAAATAAACAGGAGCATAAGAGGAGCATAAGTCAGCTTTGAGAGCTAAGCCCGTTTGAAGACGACCAAAACAATTCGATGAGCCATTCGATGAGCAATCTCTTCATCGAAGAGTATGAGTCTGCACTTAACGAAGGAGTCTACACATCAAATTTTGCAGGAAAAAAACGTTCTTTAATCATAGAAACTACAAATCACAATTCAGAAAGCTGATAAAGAGAATATAAATAGCGGAAATGGTAACTATTTGAAATGTGATATTAGATAAGTTTTCTGAAAATGTTATAATTGATTAAATGACGTTTATTTAAGTTTAATAAATAATAAAAAGTATAATTACAATATTTTGTTTCCTTTTTGATTCACTCTATTTTTTAAGTATTACATCTTCTCAGTTTACATCTTGACAATAATGTGTTACTAGCAATACTATACTATATACTATATACTAGCAATTTATCTTCATAAAAAATTTGAATATTTATCTACAACGGAATACATAGTTATTAAAAATTAAAATCTTCTATTGCCAGATTTAAAACCCAAAAAACTGCGGCCATTTTACCAATTAATATGCTGTGTGTTGGTGATTAAATAATAAATTTAATTTATAATTGTTGCTCCGAATAGTGAGCGAACTCGACATGTATTACTAATCGATATATTTGCGAGCGAGATAACAAATGAGAGACCACGATGTATCGTTTGCTTATTAGGTAGAATAATATTTGATACTGAATAAATAGACAAGCGTGCGAAAAGACAAGGAATCGAGATCAAGCAAGCAAACTGAGCAAATTATAGTAATACGCAAAATAAAGAATTTAATTGGAGAAACGATTCGATTATCTATTACAAGCCCGTACACCACGTGTAAGTTAAGAAACACTAGATTTTCATTGTTTAACTATGTCAGATGATGGTGAAAAGTTTCACGCTAAATATCTCACGCTTTCACCGGAATTAAAATTACGTGATCATAAAATGATGAAATCCACATGAGACTTGTCACTTCTTACTGATTCGTTCTAGGAAAACTTACATGATCGATGTCCTGGTTTGCACTAATTCAGTTCAGTTCAGTTCTAGTGCAGCTCTAGTGCGGAAATAAAAAACAAACCTCTAACCGATGTGTCGTGCAAGGAACTCATAATTTGCGCGGAGTCGCGAGGCAAATGATGCAATAAAATGAGGTGTTTTGATTGGTCAATTCGTGACGCGATGGATGACGCGCTCAGTAGGAATTCACCCTAAGTGACTGTGTCCAATTGCAATGTGGTCTCCTGGGACGGATGTATCCCAGAGTTTTCCATCTTGCGAAAATTTTTAAATTAACAATCATGCCTGTATCTTTCCGTTTCGTTCCACGATACGTTTTGTTATTCAACAATAATTTGTGAAGAACTTTCTTTACTAGATGTTGGCCGTATTATCCTTGAACATCTTAGAACAGGTATCACCAAATTGAAAAAAGAAAAGAATCTGTGGCGTTCATATTGTGCGTGTTCAGAGATAATATTAATTTAAAATATTTTTATTTAGTTGTATTTATCTCAAAATTATTATTAAATTATTATTACTTATTATAGCACCTCGAGAAATAATTTTATTTGCGGGAACATGGATTCGGATGGTTGTTCGTTAACCTGCACTGCTGCCATGGAGTGGTTAAACGCTCAAGGATCTATCCTGAGAAAAGTGACTCATAAAACAGCACTGTTGCGCTTGATTCGAGATGATCAGCGTGAAATGTTCATCGAGATACGCGCAGAGAAGGCAAACATGCTTACAAAATTATCTTTGAAAGGTATATCGGTATTCAATAAATTCATGACCGAAGGGAAAGCATCCATTAAATTTAAGGAACAAAATTGCACATTATTCTTGTCAAATGCGCCCTCCTCTCAGCTGATAAACTTTTTGAAAACAATATTTGTTAAGCTAATAGGCCAAGAAGGAAAAATGATCACAAAGAATCTTCTACAGGAAAAATTCTTTACAAACATACAGTTGAATGATGTTGAAACTGCCAGTCCAGCTACTTGCACAGAAGTCAATATAGCAAAAGAAAAAGCTATGATTATATCACGTACAACTGTTACTATTCCTTCATCAAGTGTGGTGAGGAAGAGGAAACGATTCAGTGATGATGTTCCTAAGATACCTATGGCAAAAAAATTATATGAGAATCCTACTTCAGGAGAGCTAACCAGGGAGCAAATTCAAGTTCTAAATGCAGTGCTTAATGGAAAAAATGTATTTTTTACTGGGAGTGCAGGCACTGGCAAGTCATTTCTGTTAAGAAAGATAATCTCTGCTCTTCCTCCAGATGTAACAATGGCTACAGCAAGCACTGGTGTAGCAGCTTGCCATATAGGTGGAATTACATTGCATCAGTTTGCTGGTATTGGTCTAGGTACTGGAACCAAGGAGAGATGCATCCAGTTGGCTTCCCGTCCGTCTGTAGTTTCAATATGGAGAAAAACAAAACACTTAGTAATAGATGAAATTTCTATGGTAGATGGTGATTTTTTTGATAAGATTGAAGCAGTAGCAAGACATATACGTAGAACAGAAAGACCCTTTGGAGGAATACAATTAATTTTGTGCGGTGACTTCTTTCAGTTACCTCCTGTGTCTAAAACAAATGATAGAGCAAAATTTTGCTTTCAAAGCGAGACTTGGCACAAATGTGTTCACTTTAATTTTGAATTGCAGACAGTTCATAGGCAAAAGGATGAGGCGTTTGTAAAAATATTAAATAATATTAGAATAGGTAGAGTCACGGATGATATTGTAGATATCCTAAAGGAAACAGCAAAACAAAAAATTGAAAGTAATGGAGTATTGGCAACTAGATTATGTTCACACGTGAAAGAAGCTGATGAGATTAATGAATTTCAATTAAATGAACTTAAGAGTGAGAGTAAAGTATATATAGCAATAGATTCCGATAGTTCTATGACGAATATGTTAGACCAACAGCTACCTATACCTGGCAAACTAATATTAAAAATTGGCGCACAAGTAATGTTATTAAAAAATATAAATGTTAATAGTGGTCTGGTAAATGGAGCTCGAGGTGTAGTTATTAATTTTAAAAATGATACACCAATAATTAAATTGCGATCTGGAACTCATTATGAAGCAAAGATGGAAAAATGGACTATCAAAACTAGTTCCGGTGCTGTTGTACATCGAAAACAAATTCCTTTAAAGCTTGCATGGGCTTTTTCAATTCACAAGAGCCAAGGTTTGACTTTAGACTGTGTGGAAATGTGCTTGTCAAGAGTATTTGATGCTGGTCAATCTTACGTAGCACTTTCTAGAGCTCAGAGTTTACAAAGTTTACGCGTTTTAGATTTCAATAGTAAACAGGTATGGGCTAACACAGTTGTACTCGAATTTTATAAAAAATTTAGGAGAAATTTACAAGAGATGGAGATATTTCTCTTGGGTAAGAAAATAAAATTGGAACAAGATAAAAGATAATATTTATATTCTTTATAGTTTATATATATATATATAATTTGTTAGAAAAAAATTTATATCCAATTCTCTTGATATGATAAGAATTAGATAACGATTATTAATTTCACTAAAGAAAATAAAACATTTATATATAGTTAATACGTTTTTTTTTACAAATACTATAGTTTAACTGATATTGTAGATAATAACTTATATCAATAATCATCAACAGTTATCTCAATAGGCGGTATATAACGCCACGTATGTCCGGCATTCACAAGCTCCGAATGAAGTATTGGAGAATTTGGAGCAGATTCTTTATTACTGCATTGAATATCTATTTTATACTGGCCAGCTGTGAAAAAAACTACACGACATTCATGATAAGCTCTGCCGTACTCCTGCAACTATTATGTATTCATGATGAAATAGAGAATGTAAAATACGCGTAATTACATTTATGAAAATTTAACTTACAGTAGGCAACATGACTTTATTCGCTCCAGCTATAGATAACCTTGTTTCTAATTGATAATTATTAACTCCATTATGATGATCTTGATAAAAATTAATAGACAATGTAAGATCATTCAATTGATGTTCTAGAGCATTGCATACTCCTACACCAACATTGATACATTCGCCCAAAGCACATGACAATTCTTCTTGTGCTTTTATGATAACATCATTGATAGTTATTTCTAGAAAATTTTGAAATTAATTTTTATTTTTTATAACTTTAAAGCTCTTGAATAGTCACTGCGGCCATATTAGAATTGTGACGGCGAAAAATGACAATAAGGTTTATTGCAACTAATTTGCAAATAAAGAGTTATTTGACTAAATTAATACTTGAGGTAACTGTAAAATATTTGTGAAAATGGACAGCTGCTATCCTTTCCTTTCCTGATAGTCAATAAATAGAAGCCGTAAAAAAAAAGTGAAATGAAGCTTGTTCAGGTAGAAAAACACACGGTTCGACAGTTGTTGAAAGAAGTGAAAAATAGGCTTTTACATATAAAATTCAAAGATAACTTTGCTGTCGTCCATTTTTACGAATTTGATAAATACAAGTTACATCTGCATAATTAAGCACATAATAACGAAACTAATAAAAATTTTGTCCGCATGTCCGTAATATAAAGATGAACAAGGATGACTGAGCTTCTAATTTTTATCGTGACGATGTCACTATTGTCAATGCAGAGTGTTCTTAGTTGAATATTCAGGAACCTTAAGTGTCTTATGATATATAAATAAAGTAAATAGCATTGTACACACCCCATTGTAAAGGACTCATTCTGACTAGATCTAACATATTCTGAGTTAGAGTAATACCAGATAAAGTTGCTTTTCCTGTTGATTCCGTACCTAATAATTGCCAGCGTAGATCGACCAATGAAGCTATATGTTCAGCGCATATTTTTTGAAGTTCGTCTGTATCGGTACCATTTAACTATAAGCAAAAATTGCTAAAATAAGTTTACATTACAATATGCTATTAAATAAACAATATTTTGATTTATTACCTTCGATAATTTATTAAGCGGACATCGATCAACTGGAACGGGAATTCTACATGATTCTTTACCTTCCATGTATATACATTTATTTTGCGTATAGTGTAATTCCATTTCATGATTCGTCACATTTGTTACATCCAACACGAGATAAAATTGCAATGGTCTAAAAATTGTTAAAATTTTATTAACAAAATACATGTAATAGCGTATAAGGAATAAATTGTATGAATTATTTTACAAAGCATTTGTATTTTTGCAACTTACGTTTCGGCTGGTAACACATCCCAATTAGTAATCTGCACACTAGGTAACATCTCAATAGTTATAAAAACAGATGAAATTCTGCAGTAACCAGTTATTAAGCCAGCACCTCCTGAGTATTTTATTTTTAACTGACCTTCAATAATATTAGACGTATGTAAAGGTACTGCGAGTTTCGATAAACGTGTACTCGCTAAGGAAGAATGACCAGAGTGCGAACTTATTCCTGATCTGAAGGAAGAAGTCAATTCGGATTGTCTTTTTGTATGATGAGATGGAGAACTAAGTCTAGATGGGAGAGAACTGTGGCCTGAATGTGAGATGAAACTACTTGGTTGACTAAGGCAGGTACTGCTAGTAATATCTGAAAAATAATAATTATTAAAAAAAGAAAATACTTAAAAATCTGAATATTATAATAACCATCAATTAATGATCATATTACCATTCCTAATCAAAGGTGCCACAAAATCTGTTGCTGCATACAGATATAAAGTAAGACTTGCACTACTACCAGACTGTAAAGGCAATTGTGTCATCAGATTCGTATCACTCCATTTAAAAATTTTATTTTCAGTTACAGCATTCAGAGTAGATTGTACTGATAATTCGATCATTTCGACAGGAACTTGTCCGACATTCGTTATTGTCACAGTACACTCAGTACTACAAACGCAAGTAAAATTATTTTGCATGATATGATATAATAAGTAATATAATATTAAAAATGTAAAAATACTAAAAATGTTTCTAGATAAGATCTTAGCTCTAGTTTATAATAAATGCAAACCTCTCACCACCGTAGAGCGATATACTCGCGCTGGTAACTATATTATCGCCAGAACTGAAACTGGCAGTTTGAGGCAAACTCGTCGCGACGTCAATTCTTGGTAAGGCTGGAATGACTTCAACCGTATATTGTGGATATAACATACCCTCCATATACCTCAATCTACAGTTAGATTTAACTCCTAATGTATGCGTGCTGAATCCGAGTATTTCTAAATCTCCAACTTCCTTGGGTCTGCCTGCTAATGTAACCGTAATCGGCCCAGATTCGGCAGGTAGGCTAATACTTTCTGGTATTGACTCAAATACTACGCCATTTGTCAAGAGTCTCATATTAGATACATGCAATTCAATCGGTAAAGGATTTATGAGTTGCATTGATACTTCGCAGATATCCCCTTCCACCCATAAATAATCTATCATAAAAGAAAAAATTCATACATGAATATAATATTAAATTTTCGATAATAACAATTAATGTTTGGATACATACCAACTTTACTTTTCGAAATACTTTTGCGCTCTAATGATCCGAAGTTAATTGGTGTAAATAAAAATGGACCATGATCTTCTTTTATTCTTTCTATTTTTTGAGGTTGTAAGTGAGGCTGCATATTTTTCAAAGTAAACGATTTTGTTCTTGGTATATTTAGTAAGTTAGCTGGTGGTATGACAGTACCAGAATCTAAAACCTATTATAAAATTCATGGTTTATATGGATCAATATATCATTATTCATAATTTTTTTTAACATACAAGAGGAACTGGTGCGCCCTCACACTGTTGAGATACATTTTGCAATTGTAATGCAATATCTTTCCGTTCGGCAAACGTCAGATGATTATACATTGTTTGAAGCAAAAATGTCAGATGTCTAGTAGCAAGCGCTGGATTACCCATTCGATTTGCAGCAGCAACAAGTTCATTTATTACTTGGATCTGTATAGCTGGCCATCCTTTTTGTCCATCTGTGTAAGAGAATAATACATTAAAAAAAAAAATCGTTATTGAAATGTAAAGATAAAATAATATTAGAAAATATTCTAATAATATTGAAAAAAATTTTAATTCAAATACTTTTTTTAGAATTACATACAAATTGAATATTTATAAATATTTTTGTTTAAAATAGAAAATACGATCAAATATGATAATTAGATAATTAGAAATATGTAAAATTTTATGAAATTTTATTTAACTCATTAACAATAATCATTAACAATAATTAACAATAATCATTATAGCAATATATAACCTTACCTGGTGGCATGTCAACAGGATCCAAGGATAATTTAAATCCAGACGTAGCTTGCAACATCAAATTATAACATTGTTGCCAATCTGGATTAGGATTATGTTGCGATACGTGACGCGTGGCGGCTAATCGTAAACAAAATGATGCTTTTCTATCAAAACCAAAGCTTGTGTATAAATCTGATAACGTAGTAAATCGATCAATCTAAAATGTTTTATAAAACCTTAAATATATATATACATATATTAAAGTTTATTACATCGCAACGCTTATATCAACGCTACATACTTTTTCTTGCTCACTGAGAGATAAATTAATCAATATAACATTATTTAAATATGATGCAGCTTGTAAGGTACAGTTCTGCTCTATTGAGATTCTTGTAGCTTTAAAACTAGCTTCAGTTTCAATTATTCCTGCATATTGGTATTTACTATAATGTACTATAGCTTCGCGATATTTTTTAGATATTTCTTCAGGTAATAAAATATGTGGCATTGTAACCTTTATCATCTCTATACTAGGTGGAGATGGCAAAACTATAAGAGCCTGTGATCCTCGTCTATAAAATGATTAATCATTGATTCATTAGTTCTATAAAAACAATTATATTATTTGATACTTTTTTAACTATATAATTACTTATAAATAAATGCTTCTATGTTTTATGTTTATATAACTGTATGTAATATCATGGTTTATATAACTTTGTTCCGAGATGCATACCTTTGCTTACTTGGACTTCCTTCCTGTAGGGAAGAATTTCTTTGCAATGGAAGACTTTGACACATGTTAGGATAAAGAACCAATACTGAGGCAGCACAGAGGCCTTCATATGCTGCTCCAAGCCACAGCCAATCATTGACAGCTTGTAAAATATTAGCTGCAGAATTATAATTATTAAGAGCATCAGCTGGAAGTCCAGCTTGAAGACACAGATCTCCTAAATGCTTCGACATGCGACCTACGCATCTTTTTTATTATTTCTGGATTCGAGATCTAGCCCAATAAAATCTTTTTTCTCAAACGGAGCCAACAAGAGGGAAACACGATCTATCTTTTCCCTAGAACGCTCCAATCTTTTCGATTCCAGGATCCAGAACAAGAAATTGAGATATTCGGCCGTTTGAGTCTCTAGATCAGGACATGCTTCGTCTGCATAGAATACCGCTCGCGTTTTAAAGTTGTTGGGAGTAGTGTAGCCTGGTGGTGGTTCGTGACGGCCGTTTGATTCAAGCGGTCCGAATAAAATAGCACGTGAGTCATATAAAGTACTGCTATACTTCACCTTCAGGGTTTCGTGCACTCTACACAACTCGTTCAGTTCCATCTGATTATCATATTTGCTAAATGTAATCAGACCTAAAAGTCTCCTGTGCGTCTGAAAATCTCCCCAATCATTATTCTCCACAGGATGTTCCCTGATGAATCGAGCGAGTATTTCCCGAGTGCCGCCACTAGAGTCAGATACGGAAAATCTACTGCCAGCCTTGACAATTCGCTCGCATAATCTACTGACAGTCTTCGGTTTGATCTGTGTGCCGACCGGCTTTAGGAGCAGTAATAGAGCAGCGTGATCATGGGCAGTCTGTTCATAATCAGGATGAGACATCTTGTTGTCGGGCACCGGACTCGACAGAATAACACTGATAGCCGAGCGCATTTATGCCATCGATTTGTTCGAGAATAATTACTCGGATTAATATCTAGACGCTCCCCGATCCAGTTGCCAATCTTGGCATTTTCTGTCGTTGTTAGAAATGTGCGATTATTTTGTATATATAAACCAAATTTATAATATATATAATAAATAATTATATATATATATATATATATATATATATATACACACACACACACACACACACACGTTCATAACACATTAACAATCTATCACATCACGGCGATGAAGAGGAGAATGGAGAGAAGAACGTAGACAGCATGTGTTACCCGCATAAACACATAAAAACGTCTACATTCCGCGCATGCGGATATAGAAATTGCCAGCTGATAATAGGCTTGTCTTTTTAACTGAACTTCTTACACCTTTTATCTTTTCTCCTTTTTTCACTAATGTGATGAGAAAAAGAAGGAAGTTCATCAACAGTGTAAAGAAGTTTAGCTTTAAAGAGACAGGTCTTCCGATACTAGTGGATCACATGACACGTTTCACGACAAGTTCATTCGAGTCAGTGATGCGAATTCGAGCCTCGAGCATACCAGCGATTTTTCCCCTCCACTTACGCACAGAGAGACGCTCCGTCTATCCGTGTGCTCGGGCTTCGCATCACACTGATCGAGTCGATTTTATAATTATGTGACATGTTGATATATGCGTATTACGTGCCAACTTTGTGAACTCGATACTATCACAATATATTCAATACCTTGTATTGGGTACTTCGAATTGATTTTTATAGATTTTTTATCTTGAAACATTATAATATATAAGTTTTTTTCTCCTTTTCTTTTTTCTTATCATCCTGCCAAGTGGTTAATCAATCCAAAGTTTATAATTTTTATGTTTATTATTAATTTTTGAAAAAATTAATGCGTATTTGAAGTGTAGTGTTTGGGATTCTTAATAGCATTTTGAACACGCCCAGAAGAACTATCTTTTGTAAAAAAATTTCAAACTATATTTCAAAAGCGCGTTCTTACTTCCGGTTCACTCCTTGTTAATCAACATATCAATATTTTAAGAAATATATTTAAAGGAATAGTCAAAAATAGTTGAAAATCTTTTTCAAATAGCGATATATCGATATACGCAAAATCGATTCACTACGCAATGATATATGGGATATATAATTTCAATGGTATACCGTTTGTATACAGATAGAGTCAAACTGAGAAGAAAAATCTATCATTTTGTGATTTTCGCCATTAGTAACGAGTTAATCATTAAAAATCGTCGAATGAGCGCATATCCACCGGCAAATGCAAGCGCGCATATATCGAGATGCAACCGTCCAACATTGCACGCGTTCACGGTTGTTAAGAGCGTGATCAGATATTTAGACGTGAAGTTTACAAAACATTTGCTTATAATACACATCTCCAAATATTTTGTTGTACTTCTAGCTGCGAATGTGCGTAACGTTAGACGGTCACATCTCGTTGGTGTGCTTGGCATTTACCAATGGTCTGAGCAGATACGCGCTTATTCGGCGATTTTTAATAATTAATAATTCATTATTAATTATGAAAATCGCAAAATAATAGAGGATTTTTTTGCTTAGGTTGCAAGTGTGTGTGTGTGCGCGCGTGCGCGCGCGTGTGAGTGTGTGTGGTGTGTGTGTAGTCATCTAAATAATCTTATAGTCGTTTCATTTAAATGACATGAAAATATCTAATCGGTCAAATTTTCTACAACTGATATTTGAAACATTGATTCTCCATCTTTTCAATCTATCATTTCTCATTGGGATATCATACATTCAACACAATTAAATTTTAAATAAAAGCTCAAATGGCTTTTAGAATGCATATAAGTCAATTTTTCAGAAATGTTCATCGAGCATTTAAAAACAGTCGATATGTCTTGATTTGTTTCTTCAGTACGTTACCGCAGTCTTTTGTTCATTACGTTTTTTTTTTAAAGTGAATTATAAAATATTTACAAATTTGATTTATTTAATTTTTAACAAATATCATTTAGAAATTTTATGTTAATACAACTGCTACATTATAACGAATCATTTTAGCGCAATTATTGTGAAATTTTCGTCAATTTATGATGTCATTATTTTGCAATGTTTTCACATTATTAGAGACGTCTTTGTGACATTCCCCAATAAGAAATGAACCATCGAATCGACGTTGATAAAATTTAAATTACATTGAATCGATGTCAACTCAATGTTGATTCGATGTTTATTTCTCACTTTAAGATATTCTATAAGCTAAATGCTTTTTAGATATATTATCTACAACGATATAAATGAAAAAACAAGAATTATATTTCATATTTCATTAAACATTACATAAAAGTTTAGAAAATATTTGTACAAATAAGTTATATAATATTTGATAATTTATCATAAAACTATTCTGCTTATATAAATTCAAGCTTATTTTTGGAAGACGGATAGCAAAAAAATAAAAGATTCAATGCTGAAAAGATTCTTATATCACATTACATTTGGGCACTACATAAATGTTTTTATATTATTAATGATAGATAAATTTATGTAATATTAAATATATTATTAAACAAATAAAATAAAATAAAATAATAAAAGAACAATAATTATCTCTAATAAAAATCACGGTTTCTGCGATTTTTTGGTCTTGGTAATAGTAATTCATTTATTTCTTATCTCTCAACTTTGAAAATTACATTTCATTTGTATCAATTTATAAATTTATAAATTACATCAAGTTAACGTTATAATATTGCATCAAATTTATAATAATTAACGCAATAAAAATCAAAGTATTCGATATTTAATTACATATTAACATATCAATTAATTTTGCGTGATAATCGCTATATTTTTTTTTAATATTAACTATTTTTAATTTGAATTTTACAATATGAAAAATTTACACAATAAACACAGTAAACAAATAAGATGATTAGCATTAAAATTTAAAACAAAATTTATTTATAACTTTTTGTATTGTAATACAAAATTATATGTGTGAAGAATTAAAATAAATATAATAAATAATACATATAAAATTTATATTGAAATATATACATATACAAATACATATAAAAAGCCTAAAATTATAAATAATACTCTAAAAAAAAAATCAAACACAAATTATAAATTATTTATTGTTTATATTTAGATGCATATACATACACGAATACAATTACAATTAAATGTATATATACACACACACACACACACACACACACACAAAATCTTATATTGAAAACTTTAAATAAAATATAATGTAACTTGAATCTTAAATTTAATGTTATTTTACGTTATGTATATGAAAAGTTTTTTGTTAAAAAAGAAATTGATAAAAAAGAATATCAGCAGTCACACAAGATGACAAGCATAAGCGATGGAAGCGATGGAAGCGGAAAAGAAGATTGTGAGATACACACAACGTGGCGATATACGCTTCTATTACCGCAAACAGAAATGAGAAGTGGGGTAAATCAGTGACGGATAAACATTTACTCTAAGAACTCTTGAAGTATAGTACATTGTACGCAGTACTTTCTCTCTTTCTTTTAAAATGTATAACCTATTTGTTTCAAAATATTTAATAAAAATAAACGAGATATATAAATAAAATTTAATTGATATCGGTTTCTCCAATAAGAAGACAGAGCTCGACAATTAATAGACACTAATTTTATGTTCCGATAGTTGCTTTTTTACACAAATTATGTAAATTATAATAATTACTTTAAATTAATATTATTTTTGAATGATTTAATATCGTTTCTCATTGAAAAATATATTACATTAAATTCCTACGTGTACACAGAAAAAAGAGAAAGAGTTTATCCTTAAATCTTGTTAGATAATATAGTTTAATAAAATTTTGACATTTTTATGTTTTCTACTTAAAAAATAAAATTTCTTTATTTTTAATCTCTCTTGTTTGAGATTAAAAATCGAGAATCCCATAATCGTTATTCCTATTCGCTTAGGTTTCTCAAATTTTAATAAGGATTCATCCCATTCCGATAAAATATTGGAAATCCGAAATGAGGTTCGACATAAATTTGACACGAATTATACCTTGCCCATTGATCCGGCACTGTGGGCAGCGGCTGTAGCGTGGCAGCAACAGTGGGAGAATAGCGGCTCTGCTGTTAATACCATAGGTAGTGCGCAGTGGTAAAGGCCTCCGTGCGTGCGGGCCGTGGTGAACACACACAACAGGTGTCCCGCGATCAGCTCTCCCGCGGTACTAGGTACTCGGTCCTCCATTTTGCTCCCCTGGGTGTTTATTCCCCGTCGCCTTTCACTCCGGGACGACAAGCGTGCAAGTGCAAGAGGCACGGCCGAGCGTGGACGTGAACGCGTGTGGTGAACCGAGCGTGCGAATCAGCATAACATGATGTCGGAGACTGTGGTAACGATGGACGGTTCCAGCAACAATGCCAGCAACAATCCACGGCAGGTACCGACGGTGAAGACCGAGCCGGGCCAACCGAACCCGTTGGCCGGCATCCGATTGAATGTGGATTATTTCAAGACCATACCCGGCATCCTCAAACTCATACAGCTGGTAAGCTGGTTCACTTTTTGTTATACCTTATTCCTTTTTGCGTTTGTAACATAGGAGACAATGGATTGAGACAATCGTTGGACGCTTTCGCGCTAGACGTAGCAAATTGATGTATGTCTGTTTGATATTTATTTTATGCTTTGATAGTAAATTTGAGTATTAATAATAACATTACTGAGTGTTATCGAAGAATACTACTGATCTCGAGCGTTAAATTTTTTTTTCCCAGAATTTAGAATAACATAAATCATACAACATAAATACGTCAAGTTATCAGAGAACCTGAGTTTAAAATTTTTAGTCTATAACAATTAAAAAAATAACAAATCACATTTGTTTAATAATTTTGCCATTTCGAGTTTTAAGATATTGTTTAAAGAATTATGATAATTAGTTTGTTATTTTATCTTATGTTAGATTAAATTATCTGAATTTAAAAAAAGGCGTATTCCTATATATTGCTTTTGAAATTAATTTTTATTAAATTAAACAAATATTTATTAATAAAATTCACATGTAGAATAATTCACAGATAGATTTTTGCAAAATTGCCATTATATGTATCTTTTAAGATCTTACAAAAAGGAATATCATATAATTTGTATTTTTCAGAATAGTAAATTGTAAGTAATTATCTTAATTCTATTCTGTATTATCACGTTGATTAGTCTAATTATCTTTTGATTCTCTGAGTTTTTTGAATATGGATTCTCTATTTCCAGCTTGGATTTAGCTCGATATATACTTGACGCTTATCACGTAATATTTAATAATAGAAACTTTAGAGTCACTTGGCCACTATGTTCTTATAACACCATGTAGAAATTTCTCGTGAAGTAATAGACATTATATAAATTGTTCAAAGAACAAAAACTTAAAATTTGATAGTTGAGGATGACATTATACATCTTTTATTCATAAATTACGTAAACGTAAATTGTGACATAAGCAAAAATATACTCTCTTTCATCTATTCTGACGATTACAGACACCTGTAAGTATTGTACTATCTTAAAGCTACCAATTTTGGCAGCGCGACATATTTCATTATTAAATAAGCTCGAGAGATTCAAGACCTTTTAAAATATTCAAATATTCAAATATATTTCTTTTACACAGATTTTTTTTCTCTTTATTGTATTATTGTTCTATTTTTTGAAGAGTCGAGAAAGTCAAGAGTCGAAAAATATCACAAAAATTTCATTCGCGTATTTCCTTTTCTGAGATTTATTAACTTATTGATAGCAAAGCGACATTAAAATGCTGATCCACGACTAACTAAAATTGAATAAACGAAAAAAAGATTTCGGAAATAGTTCTCGATCATTTGTATGCAGAAGAATTCTTGGAGGTGTTGCATGCAGATAGAACAACGTTACGTAACATTACATCCACACATCTGATAAGTTGCGATTCTGTACTTTAGTATAGTAATCATACAATTTCTATTTAGTTAATAGTGTTTGTAGTGCGATATGAGAACTCACATCGAAAAGTGATCTCGCGTCTTATCGCAATTTCTTCTTTTGTCTTTTTAATGTTAAATTCTACATTTTTATTTTTTTTTTGTTAGATATTACATTTTTTTATATTTTGAAAAAGGATAAAATCTATATATACAATTGATTTTTTTTCTAATTAATTAATTGGAGATTGGTTTATATAACAGAGAAGTAAAGTGAAATTAAAATATAAAATTATTATTATCCATTTAAGGCATCGAAAAAAAGATTAATAATCGTTCAATTTATATTCAATGGTTTCAATTTCAGTTATATTCTTTAATTATTTACGCGTGAATTATTAAGAGCTGTCCTTGTAATTTCAATTTATTTAATGTTGTGAATTGACGTCTGACATCAATAGGTTAACTCTATTGATGCTCGTTTTCCAGGATTTAAATAATGCCTGTTTTATTTAAGCGTCATTCCAATAGCAGAAATATGCCAAGGATCATTCACACGTCGTTCACTACTTATCATACAAACGTACGCAAAATATGCGCGAAACGTCGTGACTTTGATAAGTATAATACTTTAAGCTTCAAGTTCTTGTGATAACTGAAATAGAAATAACTTCTTTGGTATATTTGAATATTAGGGCTGATGCTTTCTAGGAGGAAAATTAACTTTTTCGGTGTTCTCGATCCGAATTTGTCTCCTATCGCGACAAGCGAAAATATTTATCGCCAGGAAAATGAAACTTTGAAACTCTTTGAAAGAATTTATATTATAAAAAGAAATGCTTATAGAGATAACAGTTCTTTTCCTGTCGCGAATATCTTTAACACTTTTATGTATTATAACTTTTTAATATGTATTTTAATATTTTAATACTTTAATATCTTCTTATATATTATAACTCTTGATAATAGAGTTTACATTAATGTTCTTCTGTTGCTTTGTTTGAACATTTATACGAAACATCTCTAAATTGTTGCTTGAATATATTTTTGAGAGGAGATACGTGTAATTGTTTTCTAATGAGAATTTTTTCCATTAGTTACAATTGTGTTCAAGTTATTGCTGTATATTGTAGTGAATTAATTTTTCGTATATGCTTATCTTCTAAATATTCTAGCTGCCAAGATGCGATACCCGGAAGATAATTTTTGACTAAAAATCTTGGCTGAGATGTTTGCTATTGGCTGCATAAAATTTGCATCCTTCGTGTCGAAATTTATGAAATGCTATTGTATAGTTTCTAACTTCCAACTCATTTTGATTTCTGAAGAGCAAACGTAAGATATAATTATAAATATATATTGTTTAATTACGTATAAATTTAAACAGAAATCGATTATTTTGGGTAAAGAATATAATAAAAAATTAAAATATTATTTTCAGAATTAATATTTGACATACAATTAATACAAACTTATTATATACAAATATACAGAATTGATATATATATACGAGTATATGCATGTAGTTAATAAGTCTATAAATATAAAATATTTCACATCTTAAAGCATGTTAAGAAAAATTACTTATAATAATTAATGACACTTTTTTTAAATTTATATATTTCACATTCTGAGATTAGATTCTAATATGATAAAAGATGAACATAAGCTTGATAAATAGTCTTGATATAATTCGGTGACCTTCCAATCAATCTGGAAATACGCATTGCGTGCACATGCAATCGCCATGGCGTCGATCGGACGTTTTGCACCGTGACGTTGAACCTGCAGTGACATAACCACGTAACGGTAATTTTACGGAGCGGTTAACAAAGTACCCTATCCTCATCGGACGAATAAAACGGCTTCTGGTTGGAACATTGATTTCGGATAAGATGATTGACAGACATTGACAGCTAATAGTTCTTCAAATATCTTTATTATAAACCATCGCGCAAACAAATACAATTTATACACATACAATTCATGTAAAGTTTCAACAGTTTGTTTTTGAGATGACATATTTTTGATTTCTAAGATGATTTTTCTTTTTTAAAATCTTATCACTACAAAGCTTAGTCTTTAAATTATAAAAAGAATTGAGGTGTTAGGAGAGATATATAGTTTTTCAGTTAGCTATGTTGCAAATCCATTAAAAAATAACGGCAAAGATAACGACGTTGATAGCCGAAACAAAACCTATTAAATTTAAATAATAATTATTAGGTACTAGGATCCAATCCAAATATATAACCGAATAAATCCATCTTGTATATTTTTTTCTGTTAGAAATAAATAGTTTGTGTATTATGGATTATAGTAGATATATAGTAGGTATAGTAGGTATAGTAGGTATAGTAGGTATAGCGGGCGCTCCACGAGTACTCCATCATTGCCTACTTCCTGTATTCAATCTATAATAAGTAATTATTTGTTTTTATAATTAAAAATTAAGTTTCGGGAAAAGAAAAGTCGTTTTAAAATTAAGAATATGACATTTTAAGAATAAACGTTTGCTTTGTACAGCTTGTACATCAAAATTATTTAGCATATTAGAAAAAAGATATAGCTTATGTTTATGTAAAAAATTGCTAAGACGAATCATTACGTGCAATATTATTGAAATGCACGCGCTTTATATTACGTATCCTTCGTATAATTTCGTTACGAAACATTCGTTTTTATGCAAATATGATCTCTTATCATTAAGGCGATATATCGTCTTATCTTTGATACCGTTAGGCAGGATCAAAGTTGGCAGGCATTATTTCGGTTTGATTTTTAGACACATTTTTCGATCGTACTATGTTCGTATGTTTTATCTAGCATTATATACAAAGGCCGTATATATTATTTACGATCGATAGACGCGAAGGAAGGAATGTATATTGATCTGACGCGAAATAGTTCTGATGAATAGCATACGTGGCTGTATAGTCACGGCGACACTTGCAGCAGACACAATGAAAAAAGTATTAATGAATTTTATATGCGAAAATTTTGTAAAGTTACAACGTTGAAAGTGAAATTGCTTAAGCGAAGACTTCATTTCGTGAACGAGACTTCATTTTTTAAAAATATTCATACTGAGTGCCATTTATATTCATAAGATCATTCTTATATAGAGAACTTTATAATATTAATTAATATTATTTGATACTTATTTAATTTAATATTGCATGTTGACGTCGGTATGTAGAATCGTGTATATTTTTACTTGCTGTTTATATATAAGTTAGTGTTGTTGCACTTTAATTAGAATCTTTTTATGTTCTGTCCTTCGTGATAATTGTCAACTAGAATAACCGGATTATATAAATAAAGAGAATACAGAACGTCGTCAAATAGAGTTATTATTTTTCGTATTTTCTTTGAAAAATTCTTCTCCACTTAATCGCACTTAAACGAACTTAATTTTTCTTTTTTGTTTCTGTTCTAATAAATCTACTTTGATTATAATTTTTAATCGTTAATCGTTTTAATTATGGTTTACATTAGATCTACAAGAGTTTTGGGGAATTGCTCGGATAATTGTGTATCAACATATATGACTCCTGATACATAGTACAAAAAGTTAGCATTTATGATCTATCGA